GTCCGCATCATGTATTTGCAGCACAGAGACCCAAGGAATATCAAGTTAATCTCTGGCTTCACTTCCGCGTCCTTTCAACTAGCGGGTGTGCAGCACCTTCTAGTGGTGCGAACTAAGTATGCACGGAAGGGTCCATTTCTGAAATCGCGGACCGCCATACCTACCAGCGACAGGACAATCGTCATCCTGTGCGCCGCCTGGCGCATCGCGCGGTGGAGGCGTAGCGAATTCTCGAGGTGCACTAGTTTCACAATTGGAGCAGCGAAACTTGTGTGAATCCAAGCGTAGGTAGGACTCCATGCCGAATGATGGACATAAATTTTTCCCGTCCTTTCCACGTTCAAATTCAAATAGCCGAGCAAGACAACATGTCTAGCGGGTGCAGCGTCGCTCGCCGCATCCACCAGTGAGCGCGGAACTTTACGATTGTCTTGACATACCCATACCTCGCGTACCTCCGCAAATTTTGTACAGTTTCTTCAATACTCGAGAATTAATCGATGATCTCGTTCGTAGCAATATACAGATACCGTTTATCGAAAACAGCTACACTCCTTATCCCTGAGACGGAGTAGGCGTGGCATTTGAACATGGCCTAGGACGGGTTACTCGTGGGATGTTTCAGTTTGAGACAACTGTCATCTTGTTCGGTGTTGACCAGAGACTTGATTACAACTGCCTCAAAATGATAATATCTCACGATATGCTTTGCCGCCGCCACGTTCAGCTGAAGTACGCAGCCACGCCTATCTCATCTCAGGGATTCCGAGTGTACATATGGTCACAACTCCAGACCAACAGTGTGGAAGGCATAGATTTGTGAAATATGAAAAACCGTAAGCTTTCTGCCCGTGACAAGGTTATCTCACTGAGTATTTGTGTAGTCGGGTGTGCAAGCGTGTGAACCAGTGATTATCGTATGAGTGGCATGCGCTGAAATCGCCGTGGAGGTAAATATTTTAACGACACGACATTTGTCTGACAGATACTAAGCCATTTTCAGCTATTTTCAGCATGAGCATGAAATACTCATGCTCATGCGAGCTTACTCATACTCGGAGAGGCACTGGCTGCCACTGCAAAGATACTCTGATGGGGGCCCATCAAAAAGCACTCTGATTTAAGGCTCTCAATCCCTTTTTAAAGGCAGCTGGCACGATAAATCCCCAAGACGGTTGATAGGTTTAATAAGCATGGTTCGTTAGGCCGAGATCGGATCCCTTGGGCAGGCTTTGCTGGGCGCCTTTCCCAGGAAGGTACCCTGTATAGCGTCTTATTAGCGTTGCAGCATACCGACCATCCACCAGCGGTCGCCACCCACAAATGTCCGGCAGTGCTGAGTGCTCGTAGCGGCTCATTGCGACAACTCAACATGACGCGAAATTGAATAGAAACGGCTGCGGTGCTGCATGGTGATATAGGGGTCATACATGCAGTGTGTCTCCGTAGCGTAGGTGTTACTGGCACAATCCAACGGGAAACTGTCCGACATGCTTGTCTGGCAAAACAGAGGGCTTTCATTTGCAGTTTATTGACCGTTTCACTTCGCTTTTTTCTCCATTTTTCCCGACAGGTATAGCCTGATTGCTCTACCATATTCAAGCGAGACCGATTGCGTCCTTAGAGGACTTAGATGTTCCATCGATTTTAGCCGTCCCTGAAGTGAGATAGGCGAGGGGTTTTTTTTGGTGTTAGCGAGGCGCAGTTGCAGCTGCTTGCAGAGGTGCATTTATTGGGTATTGCCTCGATAGGAAATCTAACACCAGCTCTCTTGATAGCTACATTTTACCATATCTTCTTGCAGCGAAGCCCCGAGCATACTGTAGCACTGCGGCGCCGCTAAAAAAAACTTAACGTCTGCAGATTATGTATGCGCCTCCAATTAGAGTTCGAAGAACTCGAGCTCAGAGCTCATTCTCATTTAATCGCAAAAGCACATTAGAATTTGCTCTGCAATGAAGACGGTGCTCCATGTGTTCTGCTTGATATCTTGATGTGCAATTATTCTTACTAATGGCTTTTTCCGGAGTTTCCGTTTACAAAAATGATTGAAAGGTACGCCCTGCGCTCGAGAAGGATGATTTGCGCAACTCAGGTACTGATGACAGGATGGTAAATAACGCAAAAATGAAGAATAAAAGCGCCAAAAAGCCGCGCAAAGAAATGCGCTTGTATTAGAATTGCTGCTAACGCGTACGTTTCATGCACAGTGTGAAGGCGTGGTCGGACGAGTTCTCAGCTAAAGCGAGGTATGAACGCACTCTTAGAATCGCAGTAGCATTTGATTGCGTGTTCTACCGTAATGAAAGGATCATTGCGGTCCAAACTCGTGGTTTCGTTCTACCAGACGAGCCTATTGCCAGTCTAACGACCATAAAAGGTGAAAGGCTCGACCTGTGCGGGATTAAATCCTGCATGAGACTGCTATCATACCTTGCGATCGGCTCGAGTGATCCGATCGGGAATTCCGCTCGACTTGGGAGGGGCATTTTTCACCTTCGCTGGTCTCTTCTGCTAGTTCACGTTAGTTAACAGATTACCCTTTAGTGAGACCTGTAAACTTTTGTGAAGCTACGAAAGATATATGTGAGCTGCTTGGGTCATAGGTCTTTACAGGTCTTCACAAGGTGGCCTCAACTAGCTTCGCTAAGTACCAATCAGTGCCCACACAAGGCCGAACTGTTCCAGCCTTTCTTTCAATGCAGTTCAGTAAACTGATCGCTGCTCTTTTTTGTGTACTTCAAGAGGGCAAAGTCTCCTCATGATTGCTGTCAGTACTACTACTGCCGTATTGCGTAGGCACCAGTCTGTCCTGTGCGTGTTTCTTGAATTTGACCACGGCGAAAAGGAGCCGTGAGCTGGTAAAGTGGAGAGTGCGGGGAAACTTCCCAAAGTGACCAAACTTTGATGGACTTATAATTCGGTTTCTCTTTTGTTAGACCTGTAAAGTCGGGAATTTCATCAGTTTGGGCATCCCAAGGTTTCTGTCAATGTTGAACCCAAATTGTTATCGTTAAACAACCTTTCAATTCTGATTAGTCTAAGCGTATTACAATCAAATTGCCCCCATTGTTTTGCACGAGCTAGTCTCAGGTTCCAGTGCTTATGTGTTTTTAGTTGTTGACATCGCAATTTCGGTTCGAAACCCCGATGACGTCAACTTTTTGCACTTATAGGTGCATTTATGTTATTTTCAAACCTTTAAGTATAGATGGTTCCGCGGCTTCAGTATTTAGGATGTTACCCAAGCATAAGTACATATTTAAGGGAGGCTCCTCTTTTCAAAACTTTTGGTCTGCGTTCACACTTTGCGTCACGGTTTTGAGCGATCAGGAACGTGTAGATAACGATATGGCGTTCTGATCATACCTCAGCAGTTTTAGCGACCCCCCCCCTCCGCGAAAACGCTCAGGCGCCAGATCAATATCTATCAGGGCACATCGTTGTTGGGGAATCCCCAATAGGGGGGGGGGTCGTAATTGAGCTGATAAAAATTTATTTTGATAGTTGATTTTTCTCGCGTCCACGGACGTTTGTAAAGGCGGGGGGGGGGTGTAGTTGTCTCATGGAGTTGGAATGGGTCTTGAGGAGGAGGTCGTATTGATGTTTGGGGTTGCTAGGAGTGGTGTTCATTTTTGGGTGAATCTTTTCCCTGTCTCAAATGTGCTATTCACGGCCCCCCCCCCTTCCTCGCTCGACGGCTCCGAATCTCGATTGAGTGAGGAACAGAGGCCGGAGGGGAAGTCGTATTCAACCCCCAAAAAATGGGTTGGTTTTAGCGACCCCCCCCTCCGTACAGACTCGAAAAAATCCCGCAACACTTAATTAATGTGGCTCTGATATCTGTAGTTTCCTAGTCTGTCAAAAGGCTGCTGTGGTTGCCGTGCGTTCGAAAAGCTGACGCAAAGTATGAACGCAGCTCTGTTGATGGCTTTCAGACCTGGGCTCCTCTTCAGGTCAGCTGTAGTCTTAAGCGAATTCAACACAACAAATAGAGCACATTGGGAAATACAGGGGGGGCCAAAAAAAAAGTCATTTTGCCTCCATGACTTTCAAGGCGCTATAAGTTACACTTTATTAAATTTTTATCGGACATTTTTACTACCATATTAAAGAGCACATTAAATACTATAATGATACTCCGCCACAGCCTCTGGAGGAGCGCCATCGAGAGATTCGGCCGCGCGAAAGTGAGTGGGTACCGGAGTTGAGCGAGATCGTTGATTTCTCCGCCACTGTAGACCACCCTGTTGAGCTCCGCCCGAACCGAGTAATTGAGGGGTTTAGTTCAGGACCCCCGCTTAAATACTCCAGATCTTTTCCAGGTACTTCAAGCATTCTTCCCATCTCGAGTAGGCGGTGAGTTTTTCCAAAGACCCTTTGATATCGGGCATGTGGTTTGGCACCCAAACCTGTAGCAGCACAAGGTCTCCAAGAAGGTACGGGCGACCACATGTAGGGAGGATATTCTTCTCGAGTTACTTGATGTAACCGCCAGCGCTCACCTTCAGTCGGGGTCTACAAAGAAAATATCGGTCTTCCCCTTTCCAGGTACCCCGGTCCATACCATCAACTCGCCTCGGCGAATACGGTGAAGATGATGTCCTAGACCGTAGCGACGTTGCCGTAGCTGCTCGATGTGGGAGGTCTTGCAGATCAAGAGTACTGACCTCCAGGTAGCTCTGTGGATGACTTCATTCAAGAAGTTTCGCAGCTGTTTGGAGGCGACGTGAATTCCAAAGGTGTTCTCCAGTCAGGCCGCGACT